ATGACTATCATTAAGTGTTGTACCTTATGATTCTTGAGGAATGTATCTTGTCTTTTTATGTACACTGAGACCATATGCACCAAAGACTATTTTTTTGTGTGTCCAATCACACTTGGCTAATAAAGAATTCTCTTCTCTTCTTATTCTCTTCTTGTTTCTGTCCGTCTCATATAGCCCAATAAAGCTGACACGCATTGGGTCCCCTCTAATAAACATTATCTGGAACAGAATGTGCGCCCCGCACACCAATCCATATGGTCCCATCCAACCCTGCCGTCACTTAAGGCAGCAGCCCCCAACCTTTTGGGTACTAGGGGCTGGTTCCATGGGGACAGGTTTTTCTACAGACCAGAGGCATGATTTTGTATGCTGCCTGCATCCTGCAGATGTGGTTTCACTTGTTTGCGCAGACATGTAGGATGCCATGGCCTAGTTCCAGTCCATGGACCAGGGGTTGGGAACCCCTGCCTTAAGAGAGCCTTAAAGACCTGATACCTCCCATAGATGTAGCCCAGGAAGTTGCAAAATTCCACCCCTTGAGATTGAATAGTTTATGGCTCTTTTCCATGCCCCCCCCCTCTCCCATTGTCCATCAGTATGACCATTTTTAAAATTATTCTTTTATTAATTGTATTATTCACTTCGACACTTTGTAAACTGCCCAGAATCAATCTGCGGCAACCTTAAAATCTGAATGCATGAGACCTGTGTCCATTAAATGGTCTTCCGAAAGCCTGTTATAGTTTTACCATTTTGATTTTGTAAAGAAATAGTGCAGGAAGTTATTTTACAATGGTTTTTTTTTTTATAAAAATGATTTTTAACAATAATTAAAAAGTCAGGTAAGCAGAGAGCCTGGAGGGCACCAGGAAAATGTCTCCAGGAACATTGGTGCCTATAAACATCAAGAGCAGGGTCGGTCTGACATAAGCTACCATAAAAATATTGATGTGATACCCTCTTGCTTTAATAAACCTTATAGTTTAACATTGTAATTTCTATGAAATATGTACCTCTGCAGAATAATATACTTGCATAGGAAAAATGCTGAATGGGAAGAGTGTATTATTAATCCTTGCAGTAATTTCAATCCATTGTGTGCACTGGTAATAAAATTACGTATGCCTACATAATGTTGATGTTACAGACTATGCCTATCTCTACAATAGGATAGGTTCAGAAAATTGAAATAAATGTACAGGCGATAATGTACAAATTAAATGAACAGCTATTAGCTGAACTTAATGAAAGACTAAAATAGCATCTTCTATAGATGCTGTACTATAGAGATCAGCAACTAAAGATCCCAAGCCTGAAAATGGCCTTAATTGATCCTGCAAACTGGCTATTGAAATGTAAGAGATATGAGAAGAGAAAGTGTAGCCAGGGTCTAATGTCACCTGGCAGCACCCCTTTTCTGGTGGCTCTAGGANAAAAGCAAGGAAACACCTACGGAAGAAGATATAATTAAAAAAAATATTGGACTGTGCAGAAATGGACAGATTAACACTGAAGATAAAAGAAAAAGAAGACAGAATATCTTTGAACTTGGGACTTGTTTTATCAATGGTTGGAAAACAAGGGTAGAAATTAGGAATTTAAGAAGTACTACTATGTAAACGAATTGACCCAGACAGTACGCTATTCGTTAAGCACATACTGTATATAGAGGAAACAAATAAAAAATATAAAAAAGAAAGTTAGAATTGCACTTCTCCATCTTCTTGTGCATAAGGCAGTACAACTTCAATTCTGCTGTATGCATGGAATTAAATAGATCTGATATGCTAGGTTTAAAGGAAGAAAAAAAATGCTACAAGACAGTACTATGACAACATTAACATGGATAGATGATGAAGAATTCCACTGAAAAACCTCAGGTCTTTCTCTTTCCATGTATATTTTGAAGCAGGAAGCTACAGAGAAGGAAAAAAATAGAAAAGCCTCGTTTGAAAATGTGAAATGGTAAGACAAGTCCTTTAGAAGTATGTGACTCTGAACATTACTTGCTTGGTTTCTTAGTATGCATAACTAAGGTTTTGTCCTTTTGTTACAGCAAGGTTACTTGCATACGCTCCCTGCAAGGTAGCTTAAAAGGATAGGAATAAAGCACATGGTTTGTTTCATGCACACAATATGTACATATTGTAGTTCAGACTTTTGGTCAAACTGTTCCAGTTGGGTCAGGATAAACTGAAGAAAAAACATTGAGACTATTCCAGATTTTAGCTAAAACAAATCCAGAGAAGTAACAATGGACAAGCAAGGCAAGGCTGGTGCACCTCTCTCCTCTCCTTCCTATGTTCTGACCATCAATCTCATTTAGCCTTGCGCTCAACCCTCTGAGCTACCCCTCACTTGAATTCAAGTACAACATGAGGACCACTCATGAAGACCAATTCAAGAACTGGCCAATTTTTTCCCACATCTTCCTTCTTCCTTCCTTCCTCCCTACCAGCATGAAATTGCTAGCTCCTGACACCCATCCACCTAGTACACCTGACTCATCCACCCTACCTCTACTGCAGGGGTGGGTTTCTCACCCCGTTCCAACCGGTTCGGTTGGAATGGGGCCGGCAGCGTCCTCGTGCACGCGC